ATCATCATCATAAGGTCATCAGTCGTAAGACTGGTTGAACACGCACCTCCACTCCTTCCTATGATGAGCTAATCTTCGCATTTCCCTAAAACTAGAACAACCTCGTAACCGTAACTATTTGCGAACAGTAATCTAATCTAGGTCTAACTTTATCCCTCCTAACTAGGGCTGGCATCACTTAAATTGCCGACGCCAAATCCCGGACATTTGGGAGAAATACAGTTTTTTCCCCGAACACCTCTAAAAAAATATTTTTTGCAACAAAAATTAAAACATCGTTATAATTTTTTAGGTCTGAGGTAATACGGTAACAAAAATAATTAAAAACGCCTTTTTTTTTGGCATTAATCAAATTATTATATGATACTACTAATAACTAACTAACTATATAATTTTAAAATAAACCACGCCAATGATATTTTCAGTCATCTAGTTAGGTAGCCAAATCCCTATAATATTTGTTGATTGTAAACTAAAAGTACTTAAGTAACTGCTAAAACTTTTAATTTTAACGAGATCATTTTTTTTTTACTTAGTTTGGTATTTTTCAGTCTTCCCAATTTTCGCTAAAATTCCTTTCATTTCCAACAAGAATTTGTAAAAGTCGGAACTTAGGTGGTCCTTGAAATTATACTTGATTTTAATAAGAGAAGAAACCATGTGTATGTTTAGGGAATTTCTTTCTTTCGTCCATTGCTGCGTGAGTAGCAAAAACACTCTCTCTACGTTCACTAAGATTTATTTCAATTTATCGCTTATCTATAAAAAAAATTGGATTTCCCCTGACAACAGAAGTGTTACACCCGGACACTTTTTAAAAACCCCTGCCGGACGACCCCCGGACGCCCTTCAAACTAGGACAAATCCGGGGAATCCCGGACGGATGACAGCCCTAAATATAGAGACTATGTTCCATGGTTTATGAAGCATTAAACTTTTTTGAAAAATCATCGCATCCGTTATAGGTATGCAAGTTTTAAATATATTTTTGTCCACTAACTGCTGTTAGACATCGAATAAACATGCAAATATTTAAATAAAAAGTGACAGATGTTGTTAATGTCCTGACTTTTTTGATAACCTTGTTGATTAGGCTTTCTTACTTTCTCCATTTCCTAAAGCGTCTTACCTATGTACGTATATGTTTCTCGTTATTACAAAATACTTCACGCTTCCTGTTTAGAACCAGAAATAAAACTCGCAGTTTTTTTTACTTATTTCCTATGCAAATGTTGTTCTTTTAATACGTAATCTGACTTAATTTACATGTTAGGTCATTACACATCCAAAGGATACAAACGATGATTCATGCGAATAAACTTGTCTGTAGTGACAAAGTAGGTTACATGGAGATATTTGTACATTTACGTATACAGACATAGTAGAAATTGTTTATGTTTGTCATCATTATTGTTATTATTATTGGAAATGTTTTGCCTATTGCTAATATTGTAAAATATTTTGAATGGGGAGGGATTGGGGATGGAGGTAAAAATAACACTGTACAATTTAATATAATCCTAAGTAATATACAGTAAAAGTTCTTCATTCGCTGGGTATATACGTTCCATAAATATGCCGCGAATACAGAAACCGTGGATATGGAATGGTCATTAATATGGAATCATAGGGGATTCGTTCCAAGGTTCCGAAATAAAATCAATGTATCAGAATAAAATCAATTTATTGAGAAATTCGAAATTAAAAGTAATCGTTATAATCACCTTTAGACAAGGGTTTAAAGAATTTAGTAATTTTTTATTGTTTTGTATTTCGAATTAGTCTACTCGGTTACATCTTTTATAAAAAGCGGCCTGAGCACGTACCAACAGTACATACTCAAAAGATGCTGATACATTGAAGGGATTCAGTAGTACACGCGCCGTAGAGTAAAAACATGCTTATCGGTTCTAGATATCATCAGTTTAATGTTTGGAACAGAGGTTTGAAATTTTGTAGTAAGATAGATAAAGCTTTTTTCTAAAGCCTGTCGAAGGTAATTTTTCAATTTTTTAATTTCTATTGAAAATACGTGTCCTACAAGAAGCACCAAGTTTAAGCACGTGTAAAAGCTTTTAATGACCATATTATTGAAAACCAAAAACATACTGAGTTAGTGTGAACCTTTGTCTATTACCATACAAAAAATCTGATTTTTATCTCACAGCGTTAAATCACATTGTTTAGAATGGAAATCCATATTTTCGGAAAAATTTACACTAGGCAGGAGCGGTCTATTACGGTCAATTCCCCTAATAAATGACACCGAATCCTTTTCTGTTTACCGATTGCATCCGCGAATAATGAAATTTTTAGCTGCGAATACAGGAACTGGGTTGCAATTTTTTCACCCGCGAATAAGGAAACCGTGAATAAGGAAGTTTTACTGTAATATAAACATGTGAGTTTGTTTGCTACTATTTCACGCCTGCACTACTTAACCGATTATCATGAAAATTTAAAGATACATTATGAGAGGTACAGAAAAAGACTTAGGGTCTCCAGAAAAAAAAAATACTGTTCCCGAAAGTTAGTTTTATGTGGCCGTCGATGATCTTTGAAAGTATTTGAGACATCAACGCGAGCGAAGACATGGATTAAACCAATCATGAATTTTTGTACACATATTATCAAAAGTACAGGAAAGGATATAGAGTACATTTTATCCAGAAAAAAAAAATGTTCCCAAGGGATACAAAAAAATTAGTTTTATATGGTCGTCGATGATCTTTGAAAGTTTTTATGGCATTAACGCGAGCGAAGCCGCGGGTTAAACCTATCATGAAGTTTTGTACACATATTGTCAGGGGTACAAGAAAGAACATAGAGTACTTTTTATCCAGAGAAAAAACTGTTCCCTATTTTGGTTACAATATTTTCTTAAAAAGGTTGTTAAAGGTGTATGTTTGGAACACGGCGTTGTACGGGTGCGAAACATGGACAGTGGGCTCGGCGGAAAAGAAAAGGTTAGAAGCGTTCGAAATGTGGTGTTATAGGCGGATGATGAGGATAACGTGGGTAGAAAACGTTAGAAATGAAGAGGTATTGAAAAGAATAGGAGAACAGAGGACTCGATGGAAGTCAATAAAAAATAGGTGAGATAGGTTGGTAGGACACCTTCTGAGGCATGAAGGTCTAGTCAGAGACATATTAGAGCCAGAAACAGGAGTTAGGAGGGGTAGAGGTAGACCTAGATTAGATTACTGTTCGCAATAGTTAAGGATGTAGGCTGTTCTAGTTTTAGGGAAATGCGAAATTTAGCTCAGGATAGGAAAGAGTGGTACGTGTCGAACCAGTCTTAGAACTGACGATCTTATGGTGATAAAAAAGTATTGCATTAAAAGTGTTTGTTGTTAGTAGGATTTTTGATTTTCTGTATAAAATTAACTGAATCAATTCGCTATTGACTAATGAAGATAAAATAGAAAGATAATGTTTTTATCCGATTAACATTAAATTAAGGGAGTACATACATCAATTCCTGAGCCTCTAGCGGGCGTAGTCTACCATTGTCTTAGGTGACCTTACAAACAAGAAGTCTCACAAAGCAAGTGCTAATTTAGCCTTTCGGTTGAATTTTTATTCCTTAAAGGTAATTGTAAACTAATTATATTTTCAAACTGATACCCACATATTAGTAGCTATGTAAAAAGTTAATTATTGTGTAATTTACAAACGCTGTAATGCCTTATACGAGATGAGATCATTGAGATGTCCTTAAGTATTTATAAAGTTGCTAAACGCTTTGATCCATTACCTCGCAGTTGCTTTCAAATTCTGCATGCTGAAAGCTGAAATAGAAGCGCTTTTTTGCAAAGCCAATGCTATTTAAAATTCCAGTACTTGACGATACATGTATGTATCTTCTATTCGCTTGGAAAGGTATTATGATTTAATTAAATAATGGATTGTACTTATTTGTACATCGTAATTGAGGAATTAGTGGCAATAAGGAACAATTTATTATCTTTTTCGTCAAAAACGTAAACAAGTAAGTTGTTATCGGAAATAAAATAAGCTAGGAATTTAAAAAATATGTTTGACTCTTGTAATATGTTTTACATAGGGAAAAGTGGAAGAACTTTCAAAACACAATTGAAAGAACACAAAAAGTGATTTCCTCCTCCTGTTAGGTTATAGATCTTATTAATTATATCATAACCTATACAATATTTTTGAAGTATTACATACAGTAAATAATACCTAATAATATTAAATTACCATTGTTTGAAATTTTAAAAAAATAATAAATTTAAAAATAGTTTAACTAACGAACAAATTGGGTTATGTAGTCCACCATAGCTAATTTTCTTCTCTGTTCCCACCCCACAATAATATTTAAACAATATAAATAGTACATACATACATTATATTTTGTAAAAATTTTATGAATAAGCCGCAACGTTCAAAATTGTCTTTTGCAGCAAGGAAAACATTGTAGCTCGTAAGGATCAGTTTCTCTCCAGTGGCTTTTAGCTTTTAGGATAGGTATTTTTGTAATGTTTAAGTTCCTTAATACATATCTGATTTTTTTAAAAATATTGTTTTTCTTTTTCAAATTGGAAATTATAATGTGACTTAAAGAAGTTTTAAATACAAGTGCATATTAGCAACAGATACATCATTAATGATAATAAAATTGTTATGTAAATTGATTTTTTTTACAGGGTAAAGTTTATTTATTTGACAAAGTATTTAAGCCAAATGCAACCCAAGAAAAAGTTTACAATGAGGCAGCTAAGAGTATTGTATCAGACGTTCTTGCTGGATACAATGGTACAATTTTCGCGTATGGTCAGACGTCGTCAGGTAAAACACACACAATGGAAGGTGTCATAGGTACGCTATCATCATTTTTGCTGTTACAATTGTAATATCGACTTATCATATTCTTTCAATAGGTGATCCTGCTAAACAAGGTATAATTCCACGAATTGTGAATGATATATTCAACCACATCTATGCCATGGAAGAAAACTTAGAGTTCCATATAAAAGTTTCCTATTTTGAAATTTACATGGACAAAATCAGAGATTTGTTAGATGGTAATCTTTATTACATATTTAACAGGAACTAATTCATTCATTTATGATAACGTTTAAATGAATTTTAGTTTCAAAGGTGAACCTGAGCGTCCACGAAGACAAAAATAGAGTTCCTTATGTGAAAGGGGCTACAGAGAGGTTTGTATCCAGCCCCGAAGAAGTTTTCGAAGCCATAGAAGAAGGAAAATCAAATCGACACATCGCTGTTACAAGTATGATTATTATTATTATTATTATAAACGTTAATATTATTTTATTCGGTTTTTATTGTTTTATTCCAGATATGAATGAACATTCTTCTAGATCACATTCTGTTTTTTTAATAAATGTTAAACAGGAAAATTTGGAAAACCAAAAGAAATTGTCGGGAAAGCTGTATCTTGTTGATTTGGCCGGTTCGGAAAAAGTATCCAAAACAGGAGCTGAGGGTGAGAAAATTTAAGCTTTTTTTTTCAGACTACGATAATTATTAAATATAAGGACGAGAAATAAAATTGTAAAATTATGAAGTTGATACAGAAAAATCAAAGTTTTGGGTTTTAATTGTTTAGTATTGTAAATGATTATGAAGTTAAAAAGTGCAAGACTAGAAGTAAATAAATAGAAGGAAAGCTTGAGTATTTTTTTAAGTCAAACCCAATACGAAAAATAGATCAAGGAACGCATACACATTTAAATTGGTGTAGATATGTTTACTTTAGTTATTTTTGTTAGGTACTGTCCTTGACGAGGCGAAAAACATAAACAAGTCCCTGTCAGCGTTAGGAAATGTGATTAGTGCCCTTGCCGATGGAAACAAAACCCATATTCCTTACAGAGACTCCAAACTAACTCGTATCCTTCAGGAATCGTTGGGTGGAAATGCTAGGACGACAATAGTTATTTGTTGTTCTCCTGCTAGTTTTAATGAAGCTGAAACTAAATCCACCCTCGAATTTGGCAAAAGGTAAATTAATCAGTACTATTAATCGATTTTCTTAGGCGTGATAGGTATTTACGTGTATTTTTTTCAGAGCAAAGACAGTAAAGAACGTCGTCTGTGTAAACGAAGAGTTGACAGCAGAAGAATGGAAGAGAAGATACGAAAAGGAAAAGGAAAAGGTGGCACGACTCAAGGGAAAGTTGGAAAAATTAGAAACCGAACTTGCCCGGTGGCGTGCTGGAGAACAAGTCAAAATCGAAGAACAGGTTAATCTTAATGAAGAAGCAAGCACTCCAGTCAATACTCTGGAAGAAAGTACTACCACTATTAAAGATCTCGGTAAACATCTAGGAATAAACACTTTAAAAAAAGCCTTGTGTAATCATCTCTTATTGTACTTGTACTTTTAGGTCCTGTACCTGCCACTCCTGCCCTGATGATTGCCTCGACAATGAGTAGCGAAGAAAGACAAAAATTAGAACAAGAAAGAGAAAAGCTGTACCAGCAGTTGGACGAAAAAGACGAAGAAATCAATCAGCACAGTCAGATTATCGAGAAGTTGAAGGAACAAATGTTAGAACAGGACGAACTGATTGCTGCCACACGAAAAGACTACGAGGCTTTACAGGCCGAGATGAATCGTATTCAGCAAGAGAATGAAAATGCCAAGGAAGAAGTTAAGGAAGTTCTTCAAGCTCTTGAAGAACTTGCCGTTAACTATGACCAAAAGTCTCAGGAAGTTGATGCCAAAAACAAAGAAGTAAGTCGTCTAACTATTTCTTTTTAAAGCATTCCACTTACTGATAAAAATATGATTATAATTAACCCAAGAAATATTGAATGGATAATGACTGGAGTTTTCACCCTTATATAGTGTACCTTGAGATGGTTATAAATAATGTTTTAATGTTTCAACATTCTCATCACCAATGATAGTATTATTATTTTAGATGGAATCTCTCTCGGAAGAACTAATGCAAAAGCAAGCATCTCTAAATTCTACCTCATCTGAACTTCAGCAGCTCAAAGACATGAGTACGCACCAAAAGAAACGCATAACCGAAATGCTCGCCAATTTACTGAAGGAACTTGGCGAGATTGGTACCACCATAGGTGGAGAAGGACCCGAACTTAAAGTTTCCAACGATGCCTCCAAACTGGAAGAAGAATTCACTGTAGCCAGACTGTACATTTCGAGAATGAAGACCGAAGTTACCAATCTTATCACACGCCTTCACGAAATCGAAGGATCACAACAGGATAGTAACAGGAAGGTGACCGAATATGAAAAAGAATTGAGCGAATGTCGACTCCTTATTTCTCAACATGAGGCTAGAATGAAGAGCCTGCAAGAGTCAATGAGAGAAGCGGAGAACAAAAAGAGAAGCCTCGAAGAGAGCATAGACGCCTTAAGAGAAGAATGCGCCAAGTTAAAGGCAGCTGAACAGGTTTGTGTATCTTTATATATGACAAAGTATTTTTTCAGGAGGTGTTTCTGTTATTTCAGGTTCAAAGTGTCAGCGAAAGTGAGAAGAAAGAAGCTGCTCAGTTAAGGGCTGCTTTGGAACAGCAAATGGACCAACTTAGGGATGCCCACCAGAAACAAGTAGCTGCACTTCGTGATGAAATTGCAGAGAAGCAGTCGCTTATCAATGACATCAAAGAGTAAGTGTAATAATTCAATACTATTATTGTGTTCATCATGATCAAAAGAAAGTAGGAGGGTGTTATTGGAAAGGACTTTCAAAGTTATGGACTGTTTTTCATTATTTAGAATCAGTCGCACTAGCCATATAGATCGCTGCCTGCGGCATTCGTTTATAACGATATATTTTCAAAGTCGTTTGTCACGTACTTCTACTTTTCTAACTTTGTATCTTAATGTGCAATAGCAAATTTCTTCATTCAAATTCTTCTCATTTAATTGTTTCATGATGCTCCTGTTGCTTAGTTTTGGCTCTTCCTCATTTGATTTTTTTTTTAAAGGCATCCAATGTTATGAATAGATTATTACCTTTAAAATCTCATTATTATCATGTTAGCTGTTTTATATTGGGATCATATTTATAATTATGAGTAGGAAAGATATTGTGTTCTGTTTTCTATATAATGATTTTTTATTACAGTTCAAACCAGAAGTTGCTTCTTGCTCAGCAGCAGTTGCAGTCCGACTATGACAAATTGAAGGCCGAAGAGTCCGAGAAGTCGAACAAGCTACAGGAATTAATGTCAGTAGACAATAAGATAAGCAAAAATTGTTCATACATCCCTTCTTTTAACGACAATAAGTATTGTTACGATTATTCAACCGTGTCGTATCCCACTTCGCCCGTTCATTTGAAAAACGGAAAAATTCGTAACTGGGAAGATTTTTTGCCTTATAAGGATAAAGATTCAAAAAATGACGCGAACAATGCGAAAATTTCGGTCGAAAATTCTTCAAAAATTGACAAATCAGAAAAAGAAACGCTAAACGTTTTAACAAAAAATTCTAAAAATCAATACACAATGTCGATCTTTAACATTCACACTTTTCACCTGCATCTGCTCGTTTCGTTAACTTTACTACTTGTAACGCACAAATGCCCGCAGTATTTAATTGTACTGTAAATAAATTTTTTTATCGTATTGGTTGATATCCGCGGCATAATCTTGATTAAATCAATATAAGTGGATCCAAAAATTTATTTCCTTAATCCTAATTAATTTCATAATATTCTTAATTTATAGGAAATAACAAAAAAATCTTTTTTTTTCTTTACTGTGTGTGGATTATTTGTAAAAAATTCTTATTTTTCAATTCTACTTTCNCCTATTCGTGCCGGTCAGCAACATCATCCTTCTATCACAACCGGTGGACGAGCCATCAACGCTGCTCAGAGCATTCCGAAATCCTTAGATGATCAAAAGCGAGCACTTGTTGTTGGAGCAAAGGGTAAATTCTATTTTCATTATAAATTTGGCCCCTTTTCAGTTTTTACTTACTATTACCAAAGAATGCAGACCCATAGAAGGCCACATTAGTGCGATTTGGTGTCGCAGTAGAATGCTCAGTTCTAACTGCGACCGTAGGAGTCGCATGGTCGAAATAGGCAGGGCAGGCTGCAGATGGAATTGTCAGCAGTCGTTGGCCATGCGTCGACCAGAGTCAATTGCTGACAATTCCATTTGCAGCCTGCCCTGCCCTGCCTATTTCGACCATGCGACACCAAATCGCACTGATGTGGCCTTCTATGTATCTGTTTTCTTTGCTATTGTGTTTATTTACTTTTGTATTAAAAAAATTATTCTAGTCAGGTACAGGTATTTGCTTTTTGTGTATATACATAGAAACGGGCTTATTTTAGTAGGATTACAAAGTACCATTCTTGCCTATTATTCGTACAAAACATTCCTATTTCTTACTTTTTTTATTGCCGGAGACACAAAATGTCTTACAGTGACGAATAATTTTAGAGTTGATGTGTATATCTTCAGAGCTTTTATTTTCGATCGCAATGTTAGAAATAACTTTAGTTTATTGATAACACTATTAGAGGGACGTACTATATGGGAATTCCTTTAATGACTAACTTTGAACTACATACGATTATTAGTAGTAAAAAAGGAGGGGGAAGCTACAGTATTTTTCTCATAAGCCTGCTCCATATGTTTAATACAGATGCTTAGTATTTTGTTTTGTTTTTATTATTATTATAAATGTTGTATTCAAATTGAATAATTACAGCCAGAAAATGAAGCTAATTTATGTATGCAACACTGCCTCATATTGATTTTAAAAAATTGATGATAGTAATTTCGTTCAAGTCAGTTTTATGACTAGAAGAAAGATGATTAAGTTTTTAAACTGCCACTTTATCAATTATGTCTATACATTCATGAAATATTTAAAATTAGAAATGTATATTTTGTTAATCAAAAAAATTCAAATGGCTAACTTCAAGCTGATTAGAGTTGTATTCCTACTAAAAGTGCCTGTTACAAATTTCGTGTGATTTTTTATTAATGGTTTGTTTATTTTATTTACTATTTGTTTATTTTCTTTTTAACAAAAACGCAATTTTATTTTCATTCGAATTACCCGTTATTTGTATTTGATGATATATAAATAAATTTAATTTTATTAAATAATTGCAATACACCGAGAGCCTTAACTTGTAAATAACGTAAATTATGCTATTTTTTCTAATTGTTTGTTACCACGATAATTAGAAAATTTATTTTCTCACTCATTGCTGTAAAAAAAATGTTCATAGACTGTGAATACGATAAAAGAATGTAAAATATATCATCATAAAAAAAGAAGAAAAGTTATCTAATTTATTAAGGCTTTTGAGATGTTAAAAATATCAATTTAGAAAATTGTTAATTAGTAAATTTAGTCAGTCCTCTCCGCTAGTCACATTGATTGTTGTTTCAAAGCAAACGATAATGTGTAAGCAATATGCAATATACATATATTATTATAAAAAAAAGGAATTACTTTAATATAGACGTGATTTGAAGTTTCGTTGTTTCTATTTTCAAATAAAACCTAACCAAACACACACACTTCGTGAACGTGATGGTTGAAATGGTTGATGCTGATATGCCCTTTTCTACAGTGCTACCAACGAGCGTCGTGAACAGGCGCGCAAGGATCTCAAAGGACTCGAAGACACTGTTGCCAAAGAACTTCAAACGCTTCACAACCTGAGGAAACTTTTCGTCCAAGATCTACAGGTGAGAAAATGTTTTCTAATCTATTCTACACAAAAGGCTAAAATGTTGTGTATAAACTACTTCTAAGATAACCAAAACTTTATTGATTTATCCAAACATTTATATGTAAGAGTATGATTTTAAGGCCTTTTCCATGTTTTTCTGCTCTTTTATTATCACCTCATCGGTTTTGCAGGATATTATTTTTACATTTCCATTTAACTTATTTCGTTTTTTGTAAGTTAAATGTAACTCCTCGGTTAATCAACTGGATCATGCAGAAACAAATTAATTTATTATTCAGATGGTGGATGTTCAGTTAATATTCATCTTTAAAATACATTGCATTATTAGGAAAATCGTGATGTCTATTAACACAGGTTTGAAAAGATTAAACGATATCCTTTCTTTAACAGGCTCGTATTAAGAAAGCTATGACATCAGATGATAATGAAGAGGACGGTGGTTCGTTGGCCCAAAAACAAAAGATTTCGTTCCTCGAAAACAATTTGGATCAATTGACAAAAGTGCACAAGCAATTGGTTCGTGATAACGCTGACCTGCGGTGCGAACTTCCCAAATTGGAGAAACGTCTTCGAGCCACCATGGAGCGTGTGAAAGCTTTAGAGTCCGCCCTGAAAGAGGCCAAAGAGGGAGCCATGCGCGATCGCAAGAGGTAACTATTAATCACAGAATAGTAACTTACTGTTCTAAACAAGTTAAATCTTACCGGTTAGGATAAAGCGAACGAGGGTGCTGTTTTAAGCTGATGTATTGTCTGTTCTATAGGTATCAATATGAAGTTGATCGAATCAAGGAAGCTGTTAGACAAAAGAATTTGGCCAGACGAGGTCCCATTCCACAAATAGCGAAGCCTATTCGTGCCGGTCAGCAACATCATCCTTCTATCACAACCGGTGGACGAGCCATCAACGCTGCTCAGAGCATTCCGAAATCCTTAGATGATCAAAAGCGAGCACTTGTTGTTGGAGCAAAGGGTAAATTCTATTTTCATTATAAATTTGGCCCCTTTTCAGTTTTTACTTACTATTACCAAAGAATGCAGACCCATAGAAGGCCACATTAGTGCGATTTGGTGTCGCAGTAGAATGCTCAGTTCTAACTGCGACCGTAGGAGTCGCATGGTCGAAATAGGCAGGGCAGGCTGCAGATGGAATTGTCAGCAGTCGTTGGCCATGCGTCGACCAGAGTCAATTGCTGACAATTCCATTTGCAGCCTGCCCTGCCCTGCCTATTTCGACCATGCGACACCAAATCGCACTGATGTGGCCTTCTATGTATCTGTTTTCTTTGCTATTACATTCTAATTTTTTTTTCCTGATACTACGTATTCACATCTAATGTAGAATCACCCTTTAATTGACTTTGATTCTACACTACAAGATTTTACTATTATCTGTGGTACCTTACTTGCCAAAATTGGCTATTAGCCGTAATTTACACCCAGAACGCGTTATAAATTTAATCATATCGATTTTTTGGTACGTTTTGTGTACCTTCAATGTTATTGCGATTTTCAAAAGAAATTCGTTGAATGAATAAATAATGAAGTAATAGAGCGATTTGTTTTTTGAGCAAATATGTATTTGGTTCATAATACAAAAGTTTTAAAAAATAACGATAATTGACCAAAAATTGAGTAAATAAATAATAAACAAATAAGTGAATTAATTAAACTTACTGATTGGTTTATGAGGATGTTTCTGTGTTTCAGAGTAAAACCGACAACCGGTGTCTTAAGATCGAAGGTGCATTATTTAGGTGTAATGGAAAGAAAAAAGTTAAATATAATAAAACCAAATATGTTGCTTACACATCTGTTCATGGAAGGTTGCTGTTTGAAATTTTCGGTTTTGGTAGCAAACTATTTTATTTTCGTGGTGAGAATTTCGTGCAGCAACTGCGATAGTGCTTATTTACTGCTTTTAATCTCTTCTCTATTAGAATATAAGATGCACTTGGCATTGTTTTATGAACAATTAAGCAAACAAGGTAATTTTTAAAAAGGAGTGTATATTATAACTGTCTACAATAATTGTTATTATTGTAGTTATTCACACACTATTAATTTAATTTATGAAAATAATATTAATTTTTGTAATTTCGTTCAAGTCAGTTTTATGACTAGAAGAAAGATGATTAAGTTTTTAAACTGCCACTTTATCAATTATGTCTATACATTCATGAAATATNCTAGACAGGAAGCAAAGGATGCCATTGAAGCTAAAGAAAGGCATGCAGAAGAAATGGCTGATCTTGCAGAAACCGTTGAAATGGCAACTTTGGACAAAGAAATGGCCGAAGAAAAGGCCGAAACGTTACAACTAGAGTTGGAAGTAACAAAAGAAAGATTGGAAGAAGTGACTTTGGATTTGGAACTTTTGAAAGCTGAAATGCAAGGAAAACCAGGTTGGCCATTTACTTAATTTAATTGTTGTTAGCTACTTCTTTGTTTTGGTTCATTTTTAGGAGATCAACAGGAAGGAAATGTTTCCTCGTACGAATTGAAACAATTGGAACAGCAAAACGCAAGATTGAGGGAAACTTTAGTGAGAATGCGTGACTTGACTGCTCATGACAAGCACGAATTCCAGAAACTGATGAAGGATATGGACCAGAAAAAATCTGAGATTGCTGAATTAAGTAGCCTGTTTCGATCTATTTTAAAGTTAAGGTTTTCCTTAATTACAGTGAGGACTTACCAAATGCATTTCAAATGTTTTGTTAATATAGAATAACATTAGGAATTAATTTCATAGAGCCTATAAAAAATAATTTGTAAATCCATAAAAAAGTAATTTGTAATTTTTTCAATTAACACATGAACTTGTCTGCATCAGTTTTACAAAATTCATTTTGTTATGTTTTAATTTCAATTATTTGAAACGGATTTTGACAAATAGAAGAAGAGAAATAAAATTCAAAAACGTCTAGAGTAAGGGTTACGATTGGTTTATTAGCTAACGTTTTCGTTTTTTAAAAATGTTCACAGTGGTGTTAAATTCTAGATTTCTTTTTCATTTATTTAACGCACTGAAGACGTCTTTTGATAATGAAACGTTTAAAAGCTGTGTATTTCGTCTACAAATTAAAATGCTGCAGAGCTCTCGGAATATTTGTGATGATTCTAAAATACATTAAGGAAGGGTATTTTGTATGGCATATATTCCTTTTCAAACGGTAATTTTTATGAAAAAGGACTCTTCAGTGTTATTTTGATTTATGTTTTGGCAATTTTAATTATTGTGTCAACAAATTAAATGAATTCGTTTTATAATGTGTATATAGACAATTTATATCTATATTTTCAATTTCATATAATTTTCTTATGTATTTTATTCATTGTGAAATTTGCGGAGTTGTCTTTTTTTAGTTTATTAGTTAACTGGGCCACAATAATAATACACATTGCTTTATTGCAAAATGGAATAATTTATCTACATTTTATAGCAAATAAGTAGCACATTTCAATTTAGGTATCTAGTAGATTAATTTTTTTATGAAGGATTTAAGTAATTATATACTGCAATGTAGTGATGCTATCTCTTAAGACTCGTTGTATATTTACGCCTTACATCTAAATTATTCCTAAATTTTATCTGTGGTTGTTTTTGTATAAATTATTTTGCGTGTTTATTAAATTTTACATTATTATTTTGTCTTTTTTTTTCGAGTCCGCTTGGAATGTTTTTCCATTGAAATATTTTATGTAATTATGACAAAGTTAATTATCCACTTATAACGTTAAAGGATTAAACACTCTTTATATTAATTGTACTGCAATCTTAATTAATTATTATTTGAGTAAATTCTGGTAAGTTTTGCCAATTCTTGACCTTTTATAAGAGTCACGATGTAGTTTTCTTTTTCATAATACTTTAGTAAACTTTAAAATCCAGTTTAGAAACGGACTTTTGAGTAGTTTCTAACACATTTTGAAAATATTTAAATAGTTAATTTTTATGTTCCAGTGTTACCAAAAATCAAAACATTTGGAATAAGATTTCCTTTCGTTCACTTATCTACTTTAAATCAATAAGTTTTTTGCTTTTGAGAAGAGAGTGTTCAGTCAATCTAACTTCTAATAACTTTTATTGGGCCAGGTTGTATGTCGCTCTTTAAAATAAACTTTTTTTTACGTATGCATTTTGTTTCTGTGTTTTCTTTGTTAGTATATGCCGTACTATATTATGTTATACCTAATCGTTAATTATTATTTTCTAAAATGTAATTATTTATTGTACTTTGCAACCCTACAAAATCGTTATTCTTGTAGTACCCGCTGCATTCGCGGTATTAAAAAATATTTTTGTAAATGAATGCAGTTTTGGTTCATAAAGAAATTGCTTTTCAATATTATAGTAACAGCTAACTGTAGGTATTGTAAAAATGTGTGATAGCAAAGGCTTGGTATCATACTATTTATTTAATTAATGGTGAAAATACGTTTATTATAATAAACTGATTCAAATATTGCTTTATCGTTTATTGTTTGTGGTGGATGATGTGTGTGTATCACGCAAAATGTACTAGATAGATTTTGATCAGTTTTTTTTAGTTTTAGTCCTCATACCCTTGGTGTTTATCTTCGACAAACATTCTCAGGATATTTTTATTTATTGTTAGGTTGTAGTTTTTATCAAGTAGTTACGAATAAAATTATGACTGTAAAATTAAAACAGTATTTTCACTAGAAAAGTCAAGTGACAAAGTCAATGTTATATAGTTTATTTTATATATGTTTATAGGTATTTTCTATCTATTTCGTTTTTAATAGCTTTCGCATTTAAAAAAGAGGATGCAAATAGACGATAGTTTTTACGATATTTATTTAAGTGACTGGGACTTCACTAGACAGTCTATAGGTGTGAATTTCGGAACTCTATCTCCCTACACTACAACCGAAGCAGATTTAATAAAAAAATTGACAAAGGCAAAACGTGGACGCTTTATTACTCAGATGTATGCAGGAGTTTGTGGTAAGTAAATGCATTTAAAAGTTACAGAATAATTTTAAATTAATATAAAAGATTCAAACGATAAGTACGAAAAATTGGCTCCGCAGATCTTATTCGTTTTTTTGGAATAAATAGGTACACTAACAAAATAACTAATATTTGGAAAATTTGTGCATTCTAAGGAAAAAAGAAAATTCGATTTATCAAAATATTTTTTATTGAATGCCATTTTACATAAGAATATGAATGTAATTCTTCTGCTAGAAAAGTAGTATGTATTTCTATTTTGATTTTTAATTTACTATTGAATTTTTAGCAGCAATTGGCACATATTCATTCGGTATGGTGGTAGGCTGGTCAAGTCCAATAACTTACGAAATGCTGTTGACAAGTTCGGAAGGAGAAAATGCAACCAGTATAGAAAATATTGAAGACGACCATTATGCGTGGATAATTAGTATAACCGCACTTGGCTGCTGCATGGGTATTTTCCCTGCGTTCCTCCTATTAGAACAAATCGGTCCGAGATTATATATGATTTTGGCAAATTTTTTACTAATCATATTATGGGGTGTAATGGCAATTGTAACAACTTATAGTATATTTATGGTGGTCCGTTTGATGACCGGTTTTGCTGCGGTTTCGTTTTTAATTTGCGGAGAGACAATTCTCACCGATTGTACTACAAAATATTACATGCGTTACACGATGATGATGTTTAATTCGAGTATGGTATTGGGAATTGTAATTACGTACGTAATGGGAGGATTGTGGGGAAAAAGTAAGACGTGCACTATATGTTGCAGTGTATGTGCATTTCACATTTTATTGTTATACTTTGCAAAAGACAGTCCCGTCATATTGTATGCGAGGAACCCAGTAGAAGCGATAAAAGCTCTGGCCTGGTATTTGGGCAAAACTAATATACAGCTAAAAGTGAAGCAAATCAAAAAACAACACGAAAGGCGAAGACTTGAATCATCTTCTGATCTGTACAAGAAATACTTGTTAAGTTCCAAAGCAGTTTTGAAAGGAACATTAACAGTTTTTGGGTTAATATTTTTTGAAGTATCTTCCGGTTATTACGCATTGCTTTTCTATAATGTGTCTCTCTTTCGAGAGTTTCAGCACAAGGATTCACAATATAAAGTGTTAGGTTCTATTTATTTTGGAGTTTGTTTATGGATTGTAACGGTAATTAGCAGTTACATACATTATCCGATACCTTGTGGTGTTAAGAAACCTCTAATGATAAGTTCCATTTTGATCACGTTTAATTTGGCTGCTTCCGCTTTATACCTAACGTTTATGGAGCCGAGTATAGATAGTCGTACGCATTTAATGGTACCTGTGATACTTTTTGGAACATTTATAATTTGCTTTGAAGCCGGCCTAAGTTTTTACCCTAAAGTTTTTTTAAAAGATGTATTACCTGATCAAGTTTATCCATTGATCAGATCATTGATTACATTTTTTCATTGGCTGATGATATTTTTTATGTTGCGCTTTTTCTTTCCAGTAGGCCGCCTTATTGGTTTTTCTTATGTGTATGGTATGTTAACAGTAGTAAGCATTATAAGCGTAATATACATACGCTTTCTTGTAATAGAGACCACAGGTAAAAGTTTACTTCAAATTCAGCTTGAACTTGGGGGAAACCCAGTAGGAACCCGCACAACTTTTAATTAATTTTTAAGACATTTAACGTTACTATTAATTTTTACAAAATATATGCTTATTATTACAGAAACTTCTTATTTATTCTTATCATTCGGTTACATTAATTTTAAAAAGTACTTAATTTAGTCAAAAGCTTCATGTTTATTAGTATAATATGGTATGAATAATGAATTTGGCATACAGTCGGTATGTTCACATATACTTAAATATAATTGTACTTTAGCTTAATTTTATTTNTGACTGCTGAGTAGTTAACTTTATGTTTGAATTTTTTTGTTTTTTTTTATTTTAAGAAGGATGAATTCTTAATGGATATCAGAATACATTTGTTGATGAATTAAGCTAAAAATCTCAGTAAAAATACATGAGTCGGTATTTACCGAAGAAAAACGCAAAAATCAATAAAATTTGATAATTTGACAAAAATAAAGAAAACGAGTTTGTATTTAGATCGTTTTTTAATAAATAAATCGAAAAGAGTCAGTAAAATTCACATTTTTATAACCAAAAACGATCTAAATAAAGGTAGTTTCAGTTTTAGTTAAGACGCTGGACACGGTCGAAAACAAACGTAGCGAAACTTCAAAAAGCGAAAATTTGTATTAGGAGAGCATAAGACGCTTAGGAAATCAGTCAATTTGCCGGGCAAAATTTAATGTTATTATTATTAGTATTGCTTAAACTTTAGTAGCTATCTGGTAGGCATCTGTAATATTATAACTATATTTAACTATCAGCCATGAGATGTCACTTTAGGTACGTCAGATACAAAGGACATACCATAATTCTTAACTGTAATATAAGGAATAATCGGAAAGTTGTAACAGAAACTTGATTTGTAAAAATTATGTTGCTTTATTTATTAACTTACCGTATTATGCGTTGTTTGTTTACTAGTGAATTTATTGTTTAAGATTGCATGTCCTAAGAAATACTTTAATACATTTTGATACTTCCTGCTGTTTAATAATGGAGAAATTAATTTATCAAGAAACAACGACGACTTTTTTGAATTGGGGTTGAAGGTGCATACTGGTGATTTTCAACTACAAAGTTTCACTTATGCCTTATGGCAACTTTAATACTTTTTGGTACTTCTAAAAATCCTTTCGAAAATAAAATACATAGTTATTTATCTAAACAACATTAAACGATTTATTTATTTTTTTTATCCTTTCAATGCATTCACAATGGACAGAATACGTCGTAAAACGTCTCCCCAAAAAAACACTCCAACACTTTCTGCCTCAAGGTATATTCTTTTTTATAAATCTGTTTATGTGATTAATTTCATTTATGTTTGTATATAGTTTGCGCTTATGGGTTTTGTGCTAAAAATTAATTAAAAGTATACTTAAGGAATTATTAGAGGAAAGAATATAAAAGCTTGTAAAAGGCGTTCAACTAAACATGTAATGTAACTACTATGTGTTTAAAGAGTATAATCTTAATGTGTGTATACATGACAAATGTTTAATAACGGTGATACAACGTTTTCCCTTTTTTCGCTTTAGCTCTCTTTTTTATCAGTTATGTCAAAATGAAAGAAGCCTTTTTTAAACTGAATTATCTCCTTTTATTATTTGTTTTCTCTTGTCACCTCTTTCCTTAAGAAAAAAAGGGGAATTGCATCCTTAACATATAACACAGGTGTTTTACATAAAAGTGAATAATGTTCTATTCAAAGTAATATTAAAATTAAATAAAGCAANAGATTTCAGCAAAAGATTTATATTTATTTAATAAGAAATTCGTTAATCTGGCTAAAACTAAAGCAAACGGGTGTGTATTTAGATGGTTTTTGGATGAATTAACTGAAAAAAGTCAGTAAAATTCAAATTTTTATCAACCAAAAACGATCCGAAGGTAGTGAAAATATGAGACGCTGAATACGCTACGAAATCAAACTTGTAGCGGAACTTCGAAAATCGAAAATTTGTATTAGGAAAGCATAAGATGTTTGAGAAATCAAACAATTTGCCGGGCAAAATTTAGTGTTATTATTATTTTTGCTTAAACTTTAGTAGCTATCAGGTAGGCATCTGTAATACAGTTAAAACCTGTAAGGTAGATACTGCAATTATATTTAACTGTTGGCCGTAAGATGTCTCTTAGGTACGTAAGATACGAAGGTGATACTATAATTCTTAACTGTAATATAAGGAATAATCGGAAAGTTTTAACAGAAAATAGTTTGTAAAAATTGTTACTGTATTAAGGACTGTTGTTTGCTTACAAGTGAATTTATTGTTTAAGGTTGCATTTCCTAAGAAATACTTTAATATATTTTAGTACTTTATGCACGTTTAATAAGGGAGAAACAAAAAGGAAAGGTTTTACCCTAACTAACCACAACAGTTTAGTATTACTATTTGGAAAAAATAAACTTGAACGTATTTAGTCCATTTACTGATAAAGTTTCGATCATTTATTGTAGAATTAAACAAAAAAATTTCAGCAAAAGTTCGATTTTTATTCCCGTAATTTGGTCTATTAAAAAAAAAAAAGAGACAAACACACAAAATAAAGTATCATTACTTGACAAAAACAAAATAAACGAGAACGTATTTAGGTCATTTAATGATTAATCCTCGATATATCATCATTTATTGATTAATTAAGCGAAAAATCTCAGTAAAAGAAATTAATTGAAGTCAGTAAACTTTATAACTAAAAACAATACAAAAGTAGTTTCAGTTTTAGTTAGTTAGAACACTGGACACGGTCGAAAACAAACGTAGCGAAACTTCGAAAATCGAAAATTTGTATTAGGAGTGCATAAAACGCTTAAGAAATCAGTCAATTTGCCGGGCAAAATTTAGTGTTACTATTATTATTGTTGCTTAACTTTAGTAGCTATTCCATAGGCATCTGTAATACAGTTGAAACCTATAACGAAGATATTATAATTACCTTCGACTATCGGCCGTTAGATATCACTTTAAATACGTGAGATACGAAGGTGATACTATAATTCTTAACTGTAATATAAGGGATAATCGGAAACATTTAACAGAAAATAGTTGATTTGTAAAGATTATGTTACTGTATTAATGGGTCGATTACGATTGTTGTTTGTTTACAAGTGAATTTATTGTTTAAGGTTGCATGTCCTAAGAAATACATTTTTGTACTTTAAGCTCGTCTAATAAGGGAGAAATTGCTTTACCAAACGATGCTTTTTAACTGAGGGTTAAGACTGCATCCCGCTAATTTTTAACTATTAGATTCATTTTACTGATACCTTACGACTTACTTATAATGGTAATAAAATTAGGTTTATACATCTATAAGTCGATATAAATTGATACAGAACCGCGATAGTAGATGACTGCTGAGTAGTTAACTTTATGTTTGAATTTTTTTGTTTTTTTTTATTTTAAGAAGGATGAATTCTTAATGTTGATGAAATTCTCACACTTTGTCACATTATTATTGGTAGTTTACAAATGGATTCTGAACTTAGTGAATGCCCTGTAACTCCTCTGGGAAATATTCTTTCAAAGATTGTTCTAGGTTCAATAAATGTTCATTTACGATTTTACCTATATCTGAGGTTATTTGGAACTCATATTCTTCGAGAAATCTATTCATTCGAAGAAGAAAAGATTCGTAACTTTTTTGTTCAACACTGGAATTTTATCGTTAGTGAAAATGTTTCTCTGTAAACGTGGTTGTGGTTATTCCTTGTAAGGACCTGCTGATTAAGTTTAGTTAATCGAATGTATCGTTCATATAAGCCAATTTCATTATTTGTTTTTCGTCATTTAGTAGTTCTATCTCACTTCAGAGCGTTGAATGGTCCTTATAAAATTAACAGTTAGGATTCGACCATTTATTACTGGTTAGGTTATGAAAAAAATGTCGTTTTTACGATTAAATACAAAGGTTGCTTCTCGCTGAATGTTGTATATTTTTATTACGACAAAAAACGATCGAACTCGCAGAACCCCTTGTGATCCTTCCAGAGAACCCCGCGGGAAATACTTTTTTGGAACCGCTGCTCTAGAGTCTAGACTGTAGAGTCATGAGGCACCAGAGTAAAACTGAATTCCTTTGCCCATAAGTGTACATAAATGAAGTTTTTGATGAAAATAGAAAATATCCTCAATGAAATTTGAAAAAATTCCAGGTGTTTTAAATGGTTTATTCATGTTCAAAAACTAATCTGTTTGTTTAGGTTAATCAACTGGGCGCGGTGTATTTTTATCTTAAAACGTGTGTGTGCACATATATTGATTGAATATTTATTTTATAAATCTAAAATAGCTACTTAAAGTCGTTAAGTTGTCATTAAAAGATTGTTGGTATGTACTGAATGAACTTGCCGCCGACCGGCTTCTATAAATATAGCAAAACAGCGGTTTTTTTAAAACAAACTCGGAAAATTAATAGAATAATAATTTCTCTGTTTGCCAAAAGAAAAATGGTTTTCTTAATATTTACGTATGTACGTGCTTCGGCAGATCCTGATCGTACCGATAAACAACACTGGCCTCGTTTCCCATTCATTCTAAAATTAAAAAGAAAAACGGTAATTGTTTCATTGAAAGACTCTTTCCGATCTATGAGTTTACTTTTCACTGGAAAATAAAGGCTCATTATTAATTTCTTATTTATAGAACAAATGTTCAAAAATCGATAAGGCCCAATTTCCGCTCCAAAATAATGAAAAATTATATTGGAAGTCGACGACGAAAAATCGAAAAAAATTGCAATGGAAGATGGAATAAGGTTTCCCACTAAGCACGGCAATTTTTGAGACATTATTTGCAAACTTATAAAATATATTAAGTGCAGTAGAACAAGAGGGTTGAAAGAAATGATGCTAAAATTCAATAANGAAGGAATTAGAATTTTAGTTGGTTGGAAAAATAATCGAAGAAGTAACACAGTTCAATTATTTTGGATTCGTACTGGAAACAAATAATTGAGTAGATGGAATCATAAAAAAACTGAGGAAAAAAGTAATAGGGGTAATGGGATAGGTTCGGGGAATAGGAGAAAGAAATTTGAAAGAGAGTTGGAAAAAAAGAACGTTTCTATTATTGTACAGAGAATCGAAAATAAAAAAATTGGTTATAAAATATTCAA